CAATAACATAGTAAACTTGCATAATTAAACAGCAACTAAAAATGATAGGTTTACTAAATCTTTTCCTGTGCAATTATTACTAGCATTGGAGACAAGGATAATAGTTTGTTCGAAAGAGAAAAGAACAGGCTTTGAAGTAAGCCTAAAAGCGTTTAACTAGAAATAGTATTTCGAAAGTTATTAAGCACAAAAGATGAATTGCGTTTATTTTGATACACCCTGTAGTTCGATCTAGTGAGATGCCCAAAAATTCTGATATTTGATTAAGATTAATCTTTTTATTTTACCAGAAAATGAAAGCCACGAAACCCTCCTTCATTTTGCTGCTCGCCATGGACTAAGGGAACTTATCAATGTTTTTCTCAACCTTCCTGGAGCCAAACAAGCGTTGTCTACGTATAACAAGTCTGGATTGTTACCGCGAGATGTGGCTCGGGAGAGTGGGCTATTGGATATTGCTGAACTTTTGGATTCCGAAAGGTAAGTAAAGATTATAGTCTGTCAAGATTATAGTCTGTTAGTCTGGAGGCCTGGCAAACTGCGTAGCTACAAAATTGAAGCCCTTCAAAAATGAAAACTTACGGGAACCACTGCATGAGTACTCTTACAAAATACAAAACAACGGTAATTCCGAAAAGGAACATTTATAATGTAGTTCTAGCTTTCGACTATGTCTTAGTCCATGCCTGCCAGGTGTTGGAATCCTAGGTAGCGGCGCTACTTGCTAGTGCCTGAAGCTAAGGTGTAAAAAAATACCTGTGGTTTCGGTTTCATATCGCGAAAAAATTAGGGTCGGTAGGTCGGAAATATTTTTTTTTTAAATACTTTTTTCATGGTTTTTTCAATAATTAGTGTGACAACAGACGCCATTTTGGCAGCAGCCCGCAACCACCCGGAGAAAACAGGGTCGCACGGTCAATCGCGTTGAAAAAATAATAGGGTCGGCAGAATAAAATAGGGTCGGTCGGGAACCGGAACCACAGGTATTTTTTTACGCCTAACTGCAATCCTTGGTCAGAAGGTCCACCTTGTAAATTGATTACTGAACTCATAATCATATACCAGTATTTTCATCAATTTGATGAATTTCAATTTCATTTCAAGTTCTTATAAAGTAGTAAAAAACAAATATTAAACTACCTTTTGTGTGGTTTGACTAATTTCCTGTTCTGTGGCCGAATTTTATTCATCAGCCGACAATCTTGTCGGCTTGATACTGTATATCAAAATCTTCAAGCAATCGGGTTTGAGCAAATTAACGGACACTCAATTTTGACAATATGAAACATAACAAAAAATTTATTCGGTGCCCGCTCTCCTGTCGCAATTTGCAAGCTTCAAGCGAAGCGGGCAAGTTTGAACCACGCAGGGCTAACTGCAAATTGTTTTGGCTACCTGCAAAAAAACTAAATATGCAGGCATGTTTTAGTCATCATCAGGAATGATGCTATAGGTTACATTACAACGATATTTATATGTGAAGATTAAAGTAATTTGATTTAACCAACATATACACGGTGTATCAAAAAAAAGGTAATCGAACTTCAGCGCGCTATTATACGTGAATCACTCGGCGTATGAACAATTGGTTTTCATATTTGGAAAGATCAGGCTTTTAGCTATTGAATGACATGCTTTTTATACCAAGTGGAGAAAAAATAAGCATGTACGAGGCCGATCAAAAATGTTAGTCAAAATCGCATATTTTCACCTCTGTGCCTAATTAAAACAATGCATAACAAATAAAAAGCAATTAATCACTAACGTGTCGTAGCTTAGCTAAGATTTATTCCTACTTAATAATAATTATGAATATGGGCGTAGTTTAATGAAGTGAAATTCATCAACTTAAGTACCAAAGGGAGTTCATTTTCAATGGTTTTAGACCCAACTCTCAACTGTGAAAATATGCGATTCTGACTAACATTTTTTATCGGATTCGTATTTGCTCATTTTTTATCCATTTGGCATGAAGAAGATATCATTCAACAGTTAAAAGCATGTTCTTTCCGAATGTGAAAAAATCTTGTTCATACGCAGAGTAATTGGGTACAATAGCGCGCTGAAGTTCGATTACCTTTTTTTTATACACCCTGTAGAAGAGATTACTGTATATTAATAAAAGAAGGTGAGGTGTTTTGACGCCTTAGTTCCGTATTTGAGTTCAGGTTCAAAACGTCGAATGGCAAGCGATTCTTTAAAAAGCAATGAGGACCAATGATCAGATTTGATATGTAAATCAATCAGAGTCACTATCTTGATCATTTTCCGATTTGACAGGAGGTAAATGGTGTCTCCAAAGAAAGTGCATGTACAGACAACATAAAACTTTAGACTGCAGAAAATTGCATAAGCAGTTATCAAACTTATGTCACAGTATAGTGGTAGAGGGCATGTGTGATAACTGCATGGTATCCTTTTATAAAGTTTTTGGCTAGGGTGGATATCTATTTCTTAATTGTTATTTGAGGTTGGGTAAAAAAATATTTTGAGTTTTTAATGGTTGGATCGGCAAAATTTTTTACCAAGAAAGACATCAGTGCCACCCCCACCATGAATGACCAGTCGCTAAGAGATTTCCCCATATTGCAATGATTCATAATGCAAACTTGATATCTCTGTTTGAACGCTTTAGAAGTACAGAGCAAAGAAAGAGTGGTACTTTCAAAGACAGCACCAGACGTAAAGTAAGAAGAAATAATGACAATGGCGTGACAACAATAACAAACCTTAGAAGCCATAACGTTCAGGACGACATTCACTTTCTGAGGGATTTAAATAAAAAACTAAAAGCGAAGGTAAATTCATTGGTAACTAGAAGGCAACTCGAAGATTGCATATACAGTACCTCCGTCAGCGAATTAAGTTATGTATCGTGCATAAATTATACAATGGGCTAAATATACAGGGTGTATAAAAAAAACCTGAACAGATTTGAAATTGCTCTCAATTTCACAAAACAGCTATTAGTGTCCAGTTTTCGATATATATAACTTCTTTGGGTACTTATAATGTAGAATAATGAAAAGAATTTCTCGAACTCAAATTTTGTAAACCAGGGGGGGTGTCTCTTCCAACAAACTAAAAATAGCTTGCGCACGAGATTTAAAAGCTTTAATCATATTTTGAGAAATAATTTTAATTATATTTCGCGTTATAAGTTTATAATTTGCTTCAGTCACGCAAACTTACATTTTTTCCTAAATGTAATTAATGCCTAGGCAATAAAAAATATGTGGGTTTCCGGTTTCTTCTTTTAAATTTTCCGAACAACCGGACGCCATTTTGTTTAGTCAGTGCTTCCACATCCAAAGATAAATTTCCCTAATATTGCCTCAAATTTCAATTTTCCACAAAGTTTTTCCTCTAAGTGGAAACACTTACAAGCATGATCCAATAAAAAAGTTTAGGGTCGGGATTTCGACGTCTAAAAGCTAGGTAGGGTCGGGAAACCGGAAACCCACATATTTTTTTAGCCCTATCCGAAATATTAATCCGCTTAATTAATGCCTATCCGAAATTGCCTAATCCGATCCGAAATTGTGTAATCCGAATCCGATCCGAGTTTCGATAAAAGATTCCAATCCGATCCGATCTGAAGAAGTCTTTAATAAAATAAATTTCTCATTCAAGTTGAAATATTTAACCAAATAAATATAAAAGGAAGAAATACATGTCAAGAAGCTGACAAAGTGACGTCCAATTGAAGTATCAAACGAATAATGCTGAATATTATACCTCAAATTCAAATTGTTCAATCAGGAAGCTTAGTTTGTGCCACGTGAGCATGAAATTAATCGCGATATCACGCCTTACGTCATCAATTAGCGAGCCTGCGTTCCTTTTGACAATGTTCCACCCCATGTTCCCCGGGGAACATGGGGTGAAACATTATTCGCGTAGACCGCGCGAGACAACACGCATGACAAAAACATGGCCGACAAAATGTAAATAGTATTGATGAGTGATGAATAATCAAATTTTAAACGTAAAACCTGGGGCTTTTTCAAAATTTTGAAGCAAATTTTGAAAAATGTTGTCATTAATATTCCAAACGATATGTGATTCGAAAGAAAATCGACGAATACTTGCGTTAATCCGAAAATGAAACATCGTATTCACGACGGTATGTGTTTTTAATTCTCAACTTGGAGGCTTTTAATTTTCGGTATAATATATCATTTATAGACCCTCCGCTCGGGGGATTCGGCGAAATATTACCTGAAGTGATGATATTTCTTTGCCCCGAGGGAAATATCATCACTGAGGGTAATATTTCGCCGAATCCCCCGAGCGGAGGGTCTATAAATGATAAATGTAACGCTAAATGTGTACGTTTGAAACGTAAACAAACCGTGGAAAAGTCCGCGGTTGCTTGCAAATGGGATATTAATACATGTGCCTTTTTTCAGAGAAATTCGCCAGTAAACAGACACTCCTGGCCAATAGAAATTCAATCTTTCCATCCAGGTAATGTTTTGTATACATTTATATTTCTTTCTAGGAATAGTGGAGACGGAATAGTAAACCACTATACTGATTATATCGTTATTAAATACATGATATTTCTGTTTCAGATGACTATATTGAAGAATTGGAGAAGGGACTGAGTAAAGTTACAGCTCTTGGAGAAAAAAATAATACGAAACGATCATTCATAGGTTTGTACCATATTTGCACAAATTTGGAATATTTATGTACTTCCTGTATTGTAATGTTTAGTTTGTAATAAAGACGAATCACGTGTTTACTAAATGACCGTATCTGGAACATTTTGTCGGCGACATCAGTTAAGGAATCTGTTTGACTCTTTATACGAGAAATCTGCAGTTTTATACCATACTACAATGTGTCTATTGTCTTTGTCTTAGATGATAACCTGATTCAGTTAAGAGATATTACAGAAGAGATCTGCAATCTACGGTCACGGAATGCAGAGGAAGCCTCGAAAGAAGTGAGTGTACTGTGTTCATTCTTCGTTTGTAACCTCATACCATACCATACCATACCATACCATACCATACCCACTATAACCTACACTATCCCCAACATAATATTCAGGATCTTCACTTTCACTACCCCCCAAAACTCCAACTCTAGTGGGATCCAGGGGCATTCTCTCCCGGAAAATGTTGGAACTTGTACTCTTGGAGTCTCTGAAATGGTATTTCCTGATTTCTGAGGGGAGATCTCACGGGCAGAAACTATGTCATTTTATTCATTTTACATTGCAAGCAGCGAGTTTATATTAAGTTACAATCTTTTCTTGTTTGGAGTAGACTCATCCCCCTCACTTCTGCTTTGGGGGGGGGGGGGGCTATTAGGTGTAGCTCTCGTACTCTCCGCTTCCACCACATGTGTAAACCCAACCTAGCCGAATCTGCCCTATCCTGACCTAACGTTATCCAAAACTTTCAAAATAAGCCGGTGTCCGCCGGAGGTGCCACAAGGTTTACCACCAGTTACTTTGTTTAGTCAATTCTGCTCCTCTTCCTCCACACTAAGCTTTGAAGTTCTTTCTTCCTTCCTTAACCTGGTCTACTTTATAGCCTGGTTATTTTCGAAAACGACGTACTGTACTACAGTATTTAGTTATAATTTTAAATTCTAAAGAAATCTTGTTAAAGAATGGAAGTAGTGATGCGTTATAATTTGGTTACAGAGCTCAGTTATGTTGCTATCTAATCAAGCCTGAAAATAAGCGGCCGGTCACGGACATTGTCCGGTACGAAAAGGAAATTGTCCGGCACAACTGTTTTTTTGCCAGACAGTTTGTCCGGCAGCATATTATACAACTATTGGTGGAACTGTCTACAACTGGCATTAAAAATTTCATAATATTTCAAAATATTTGCATTCTCCATTTAAAAATTATGTGTATGTCCAAATTTCATCGCGTATGAATATTCAGACTATTAATTAATATGCCTGTGAAAATGCTGTGAAATTTATGATTGTTCGATTCCGTATGACATAATGGACTAGTGGCTTAATTGTTGTTACTAAGCTTTTCATTGGCTTCTTTTATTTCAAGGACCACGAAAAACTATATTTGCTCTATTGCGTTAATATTTTTTGTCAAGCGCAAAATGTCCAGTGTCAGGCACCAATAATTTCGTACCTGACACTTTGTCAGGCACCGTTGGAAATTTATTTTCAGGCTTGTATCTAATCAGCAGTTGATTTAGTTAACTTTAAGACTCCCTAGCAGGGCTCAAAATAACGGGAGATAGGTTTCCGGTCAAAAGGACCAGTCAACTTGATTTTAGCTCGGTCAAAATCTGTTTTTGACCAGTTATTGATACGCTTACACTAACAGTGAAACAAAGTATTAAAAACTTGTTTCGATATATCATAGTTTTAATTCAAGACGTCAGCAATTACATTGGATGAGATGAAAGTATGGCCGGTCAAAATGACCGGTGAGTTTAAAAAATGACCGGTCAAGAGGTATTTTTGGCCGGTCATTGTCCGTTAACCGGCCGTTATTTTGAGCCCTGCCTAGACCTCCCGAAAGGCCACAGCCGCCTACTTTATCAACACACTTACCTACTCAGACTTTCTGAAAGCTCTCTCGTTATCTAACCTAAGCTATGAGCATTTGACTAAACCTATGCCAATTTCCATCTGACCCAACTTAACTTATTTTTTATCAACATAACTTTACCTATTTCAACTTATGACGTTTATATAACTTAGCCAATATAGCGCAATAGAGAGTTTGTTTGACATCACAAAAATTACTTTACCCGCAATATTTCTACGTGTATGTAAATCTCGACATTTTTTGTATAGATTTCAATGATTGCTGATCAAAATCGACGTCCTGCTCATTCAAGAAGATTGTCATGTCCAGGCTCATTTGAGCGACAGAGACGAGCCGCTGGAGGTCGGTACAATTGTTCTTTGGTATAGTTATAAACATCATGAATATATATGGCAAGCAGTTTGGTGAATCGGTCAATTTTTATTTTGTTTTGATTTTGGTGTTGCGTGGCATAGTCCACGTACTCGCCACGCGTTTTTGACCTTCGGAGTTCGGCCCGCGCTCATCCCGCGTATCACCGTACGCAGCCTTCTTATAATTTTGTTTCTTTATGTAGGTCTTCCAAATCTCAAATCTCGTCCAGAATCGAGTGCATCTGAACGTTCCACTGGCAACCAAGAAGAGCCCGCGAACCCTGCAGCTGCTGAAACTGCATTCTCTATCCCGCCCATTTCCCCCAAGGTTGGTCAACTCGTCAATCTTGCCTCGCCCACCGTCACATCTCCTGGCCCTGAAGGCACCTTCCAACTGTTTGACGATGCCCCTGAATCGTTTATGACTCCCCCAACTAATACACCTTCCCCCTCCCCCCAGCCTAAATCACCGATGCCAATATCTTTGAAATGCTCTGATGCCGAAAAGAGACCTAATACGGGTCGTAAAGGGCGTCCGCGGACGTGGTATGGCGGAGCGGCGGACATTCCGCACGTAGCGGACGAGGAACTGCGACGGAGTAACAGCTTGGAAGATTTCGGGAAAGCACTTGATGAAGGGAGTGATGATGAATCCATTACATCTGCTGCATCCGAAGCGAATTCTAAAGAAGGTATACTTCAGACATTGTGTTCATTGACAGAGAAAGAGAGTCGTACCGAAAGTTTCGTGTCCTCAATAAGCGATACAAGTATCGGAAAAGAAAGTGTTGGTAGTGATATCGAGGATGATTGTGAACTTGAATATACACAAGAGGGCATTCAGGGTGAAATTGTCAAGGATATTGAGGGCTATGAGGGTATCCAGGAGCGCGAGCACGAGTACACGAAGGATGAGCTTGAAGGACATGAAGAAATTGGAAAGGGGGAGACCCACAATCATGGGGACTTAGGTAATGTCGAGGTTCATCTGGGGATCCAAGAGGAGGAGGAAACTGGGATACATGAGGTTGTTGACGAACATAAGGATGTCGATAACAGGGACGTTCATGAAAATGAGAAGATTGAAATTAATGGAAAATTAGACCAAATTGTAGACGTCGAAAAGCATGAGAGTCAAATTACTGCGGGCAGTAATGTTAAAAATAACGACGGTGGAGATGTAGAAAACGAATGTCAGGATACAGAGTACAAATGTAATGACGCGGAGCACGATCTTAAAGACACCGAGCACGAATGTAGAAACTCTGAGCACGAATGCATCGATACGGAACAGGAATCTAAGAACACGGAAGAGGAATTTAAAGACACCTTGACGGAGCACGAATGTAGAAACTCTGAGCACGAATGTAATGATACGGAACAGGAATCTAAGAAGACGGAAGAGGAATTTAAAGACACGTTGATGGAGCACGAATGTAGAAAGTCTGAGCACGAATGTAATGATACGGAACAGGAATCTAAGAAGACGGAAGAGGAATTTAAAGACACGTTGATGGAGCACGAATGTAGAAACTCTGAGCACGAATGTAATGATACGGAACAGGAATCTAAGAAGACGGAAGAGGAATTTAAAGACACGTTGATGGAGCACGAATGTAGAAACTCTGAGCACGAATGTAATGATACGGAACAGGAATCTAAGAACACGGAAGAGGAATTTAAAGACACGTTGATGGAGCACGAATGTAACGAAACGGAGCACGAATGTAAGGAAACGGAACACGAATGTAGAGACAGGAACGATCTTGAGCATGAGCAAACCGAAGATACTGAAGCAGCTACAAATAGCAATGTCGAAGAAGACATTGTAAGTCGAGTAGATAAACAAGAGGAAAACCACGAGAGCGAATCACCGTACGAAAACACTTATAATGGCCAACAAGATAACGAAGTAGAGACTGGTGTTGTTTGTAATGGAGTAGAATGCGTCGTTCAGGAGCACGAACATGCTGAGGAACATATTCAGAATGAAGTTATAGGGGATGAGAACATGCGTAATGAGAGCATGGAAAAAAACACAGCAGTTGGAACAAGTGGGCAGGGTGATTGCAACAAAGACCTTGAAGAGGAGCTTTCAAATGATAACAAAGAATCGCAACTAAACGAAGAACATCAGTGTGGGGAACCTGGCTTGGAACCGTTAGAAGATGTTGTCCAACAGGATTCTCATGCTGATCCTCGCGACTCCGAAAATACAGCGAGTGGAGAAAACCAACTACCACATGAAGATGTATCGATGGAGAATTCAAGTGAAGAAATTAATCTTTCATACAACTCCAACGACGATGCAATCGTTGAAGAAACTCTAACCAACAAAGTAGCTGATGATGGACCTGAAAAAAACGAAACTTCACCGGAAGGAAACGAAGATTGTACGAAAGAATCCGAAGGTCGGTCTTGTGGATCCGAAGATGTGGAAGAAAAACTAGGATGTCTTCAGGCAGAAGCCGAAAATCGTCCGACAGAATCTGGAAATATCGAGAGAGAATCCGAAGATCGTTCGGCAGAACCAGAAGATCGCCCGACAGAACCCGAAAATCGCCAGACTGAATTCGAAGATCGCCCGACAGAATCCGAAAATCATTCTGCTGAATCCAAAAATCTTCCGAAAGAATCCGAAGATCGGACCAGAAATCAGGCGAATGATCCCGAAATCGTGATAGAGGACGCCGAAGATAAATCATCTGAATCAACAGACGACTACTCCAGCGTATGTCAGACAAAAATCAAGTACGAAGACCTCGACGATATCGAATGCAATGTGCAAGATTTCTGCCTCCCCGGTCAGAACACTGAACGTAACAAAGAACTGTTTCGTATCCAGGCAACGGATGACGTGGAATCGGGTGAGGACTCGGACCCAGGCAAGCATATCCGGTTTGATGAAAAACCTCCTTCTTTGAGTCCCATGGCAGAAGAACTATCTCCGACAAGTCCTGAGGAAAATTTCTGTGTTCCTATGCGGACACGCTCAGCTTTGCTACTCGGAATGAAAACACCGGTGAAACGAAGCGGAAGTGACATATCTGTGACGTCACTTCAAGATGTCGAACTTAATATGCACGCGACCAATCGAGACAACGACCTAACCCCGGGGGTATTAAACAATTCTCGGAAAGCAAAATCGTTCGGAGACTTGAGCACGTTTTCAGAAGGTCGCTCCGAAATGACCAAAGACGTAGGTGACGATTCGGATGAAGAACGAAAACGGATTCAGGAAGACCACACGGTAGCCTATCAACCTTTTAAATTACAATTAGTACTTATTATAGACTAATTTTAAAACTAGGCAAGGAGACGCAAATAAATCACCACAGCTAGAAAGAGCATACTAAAATGAGTAAAATTGCATAGTTGGGTTGCAAAATGTTGTAAAATACGGAAGATATAGCCTTGCAAAGTTTGCAAATTTTGTACACTTTAGTATTGCGTGCGGAAATTGCTACCATTTTTGGCCCAAATGTGGTAGCAATGTCCGCACGCAATACAAAAAGTATACAAAATTTACGAACTTTGCAAGGCTATATATTCCTCATTTTACAACATTCTATAATGGGAATTGATTATAAATCTTAAAATTCAAAAAGAGTTGCTCTCAATAGGGCCATCGTTCTATTTGTTCATTCGAGATTTTGACCTCTCGGTAGCTAAACTTCTCTTCGTTCGATTTTAGGTTCTCAATCGGGTTAAGAAGTACGAACAGGCGTCCAAATATGCGAGTAATGAACAGCTTGAGCAGATATCAACCTCTCGCATTATCACAGAGCGAGAGGAGGAAAAACAGAATCAAAGACGGTGGAGTAATTTCTTTAACCCCAAGAACCCGAAGCCGGGGAAGAAACCCGGTCGTACTCCGACTTTCCGCCGAGATAATCTACGATCCTCTATGACCGGGAAGGGTTCGAAAAACCCCCCTAAGAGTACCATTGAAAATCTTGTTGCCGGTCCACACTCGGCAGCGTTCGCAAAACACTCTCAAACTGCTCCAAACTTGCATGTGGCGGCAAGCGGCAGACCACGATCGTTTACGGGCTCCCCGGGCCAAATTCGGAAGTCTCCGACCATCAGCTCGATCGATTCCGAAGAACAAAAAACGGAATCGCCCGATGAAGTAGAGATCCAGAACGAAGACATCAATTTCGAAGTGGACTCGGACCTGGAAAATTTTGACAAGGAACCAGAAGCATGGAGCGTTACAGCGGAGCCTTATATGTTGAAGAAGATGAAAAAGAATGAAATAAAACGGCAAGATGTGATACTCGAACTCATCCAAACCGAAGGACATCATGTGCGAACTTTAAAAATCATGCAGCAAGTGTTCTATCGCGGCCTTCACAAGGTCGCCAACTATCCGGAAGAACGCTTGGATGAGCTGTTTCCAAGGATTAATGACTTGGTCGATATTAGCGCAAGATTTTATCGCAACTTGAGATGCCGCCAGGATGAAAGTGCCTCGGTGAAGATGATAGGTGATGTTATCATGAAACAGTTTGGTGGCGATAATGGAGAACTGGTTAAACAAGCATACGGAGAGTTTGTCAGCAAACACCCCGAAGCTGTGGCGTCGTATAAGGTAAGAGAAGTGGGACCACGAGATCCTGAGGCAGGGATTAAAGAAATTTAAAGAAATTTTATCACTGCACAAAAAAAAACATAAAATAGTAGTAGTATGTCACACAGCGAATGAGCGCTGAGTACATTTCTCTTGATTATATAAGCTATTCAGTGCTGTACTGGGAAATGCAAAATAGGAAAATTTACGAATTTGTAAATGGGAACCTAAGAAAAGGGACCTAACTAGGTGATGGGGAATTGCAAAAGACCGGTCCTTCTCCAGAAAAATGTCGTACTTTTTAGCCTCCCAAAGTTGATTTCTTGCATTTTCAGACACAATTTTTGACACATTCCATTTTGCAGGATTGAATACTAAGTCATATAAAGTTCGATACAAAATTTGAAAACATTAAGTAAAAACAGGCATAACTTATTTGACAATTTAGACATAATTTGTGATAAATTATATGCACTCCTTCCACGAATTAATATCACCTATAGATAAATTTTAAAGATAATTAGAACTGCACAATTCCCATTTATCACTGCACAATTCCCATTTATCACTGCACCTTAAAATAATCCTTGTCTCGAAGTACAGTTGCTTTTGCGAGAAGGTCGAAGAACATTTTCAACTTTTCACACATACGTTATGAGAGAATCTTAGGGGTCGATTGCGTGGACCCTAAGTGTTTTGTAGAGCCAAACACTAAAAAAAAAACCGCTTCGGTTAAAATATCCTGGTTTAACCTAGAAAGAACACTATTTGGCTTAACTTATATTTCTGGGGCCGGTTGTTCAAAACTTGCGCTAACCCTTTGCTGTGGGTTATGTATTTCTGCTCGTCTGTTTTAGAAAAATTAACTTCTGATGACCCAGACAAGATTTCTGAAAAAAATATTTCCAAGTTTATAGGAAGTATGCTTTGAATATCACGTTAACCCAGGGTTAAAGTGTATATGACATGAAATTTCTTATTTTCTTAAATGAAAGAACTCTTTAAGTTGTAGTGTAACTTATTTTTCAGTTTCTTGTTTTTATGTTTTGTTCCCGAGATATTTCAATTTGTTTGATATTTAAATGAGTGTGAATATGTCCGCTAATTTATGACGTCATGTTGGTTGCAAGCTCAACTTACGCTGGTTATAAATGTATTAACTCTAAAAACTGTTGATATCAGTTCACGTTTTTCTCCAGTATTTCATCACATTTACCAGTGAGCGAAGTTTGAAATTATCTTGGTTGATAGCAGTGATATTCAACCATTTTAAAGAGCTTGCAACCAACATGACGTCATAAATTAGCGGACATATTCACACTCATTTACATATCAAACAAATTGAAATATCTCGGGAACAAAACATAAAAACAAGAAACTGAAAAATAAGTTACACTACAACTTAAAGAGTTCTTTCATTTAAGAAAATAAGAAATTTCATGTCGTATACACTTTAAGCTAACCGGCTTTTGAACAACCGGAACCTGGTAAATTTCCTGTTTTTTGTCACTTCCTACCAAAGTCTGGTTAATGTAACCAGATTTGTAACCAGGAATCTGGTTATATTTGTCCAGGATGTCTTTGTTAAAATAACCAGACTATCCTAGGTGTTAGAGCCTACGCGCCATGGTGTTAGCACAGAATAAGACTGTACAGCAGAAGCGTAACTCAAGCAAGTATTTGTCCGCGTTTTTACAAGCGATTCGTCATCAATCTCGCCATCCTGGCTAGTACAACCGGCACTTTGTACCTACCAAAACCTGATAGAAACTTCCGGTTGTACTAGCCAGGATGACGTGGATTGGCGTGAGCGAGTTAAAATTTTCGTGGACGTAAAACAATAAGGGAAACGACTAGAGTTACGCTTCTGCTGTACCTTCTTATTCTGTGGTGTTAGTGTCTATGACGTAAGTATTAGAGTTAGCTAATATCGATCTTTTCTTACAGCACTATTTTAAGACGGACAAGAAGTTTTCAAATTTTATCAAGGTTAGTAGGCGGTTATACAGTGAAATTAACGAAGAGATTATTTGCTTCTTAGTCAAATGAAATATTATGAATAACATTTCGAACTCCGTGTTAGTCTTAGAGATAACCGGGCCGCCGAGAGAATTCGCGGGGCCCGGGGCAAATCGTCCCCGGGGGCCCCATGACATCCCTATTTTTAAGCTAGACCCAACTACCCTTAGCTAGACTGCATGTGGAGCTACTGTAAGGGGCCCTCAAAAATGCTCTGACCAATTTAAAGAACCTACTCAATTTTAGGCTCTCTCTCTCAAGTTGGGGCCCTATTAAGGTGGGGGCCCGGGGCAATTTGCCCCCCCTCTCCGTCTCGGCCGCCCTGGATATAACTTTTTCCTTTGAAAGGATTTATAAAAGATGAAGCATTTGTTTTGATGAATCGCGCAATTTGATTGGCTGCTGACGAGGCAGGATTTTCCCGTATTGCCCACGGGCAATACGTAATTTTTACTGCCCTGCGACGAAAGCCGAATTTCAAACAGCAAAAAGTGTCTAAAAGTCTTTCAAAACTATTCAAAACGAAGAAAAATAAACCTAAAATAAAAAGAGGAGCAACTGCTGTGGTTAAAGAACTTTCTCCATACGTTTTTGTTAGCGAAAGTCAAAATTACAAGGTAAATTTTACAATGTTTATAACCATAAAAGCAGTCAGGATCTAGGAATAGTTGTGTTTTGACAATGCGAAGAGCTGCAAATTTTATTTGCAGATAGCCAGGTCCTATTTGACATCATCCTAAATAAAAAATACAACTAAAACAGCCACAGATTTATCATTTTCCATGAAAATTTCTGTTTTTGTTAGATAAAAAGAGACATAAATATGAGATGAAGCGAACTAAAATTTCCTGCCAGAGGACTTATAGTTGCATTTTTGGCAACTGCTCCTGGTTAGAGCTGATAAATATGTAAAAATTAACTCGAGATTTCCAACTACAAATCCATTGAACAATTATTTCTTTCGAATGGGATGCCCAAAACCATGATATTTTAACTAGTGCGCTTACAGTCAAAGTACAAGAACTTTCGCACTTTTGTAATCTGTTGACATTTTCCGTAATTTGTTCTGTATTACTTTAACGGTTACTGATTTATAGACAAATACCATGATAAGATTCAAACTGCACCTTCTTTTATGTGTTTTGATGCAGTGAATCAAACGAAAAATATAGCCTTTGCTACAAATTATCATGTGAAACAAAGAAAAGTAAATCTTGTTGCCATTTTGTTCATAATTTGGTAACCGCTACAGAAAAACAAAACAATTGACAGAAAATTACAGCGGAAGTGGGAAGGTTCTCGTATTTTGAC